TTTTAAGACCTTTTTTAAGACCCTTTCCACACATTTTAAGACCTCATCGCCACTTGGAGTTTTAACCGGTTACATTGGCGACACACTTTACCTCAAATTGACTATATACAGTATTGATTGCCCTTCCTCCTTATCTTCCAACCATTTGGACGCAGACTTGCATTTCTCCATAACGATGTTGTTTAACAACCGGCGTAAACGGACCTTCGCGCGCTATCAAGCAGTGAGCGTGCGATGTCCTGTTCAGATGACGTCAAATCCAACGGGATGCCATCAATAAACTACACAGAATCACACTACACACCTACGCCATGATTACATTCAGGCACACTGTAGAATACAACCTCTTTGGACCATTTATATACTTATTGAAAACAAGCTACAAAATGTAATACCTTGGAAAATGCCGTTTAATACTTTTTAATAGCCTTAATTTTCGCTAAATTGATTTATCAACTTTTAATACTTTTTAAGACCCCGCGGACACCCTGAATCAGCTAGGCAAAAAAATAGTATATATTACTTGCTAGAAATAAAGCAATTATTTTGAAAAAACACTAAAATAATAGAAGTATACTGAACCTGAATAAAATGTTATTTACATAACATCTGCCTGATTTAGGAGAAGTGAGAAGTTATTGAAGAGTGAAATGAGACAAGCTCATTTTAAGAAAACCTCTTTCTCACTTTTAATAACTTTAGCAAAACAGCTTTATGTTTAAAACAGGTTTTCAGGAGTTGTCAAACAAGTTGAAGTTAAACACACAGAATATAAGAGATAGAATAATGCGAATCACTCACAGTATGGTATATAGGGAGTAACACGGTTTTGAGTTTATGATAAGTATACTGTACCCATGAGTGTGGTGGAGGAGGGCGGGGTTGAAGGGAGAGCCACAGTGGCAGCGTATGATTGGCTGGTTGGTGGTGGAGAACCGTCCTCTGGATCCTCCTCTTCCTTCTCCTCTACCTGCTCCTCACCGGACTCAAACAGCCTGCAGCAGCAGAGAACACAGAGACTTTGAAACACACAACTCACTTCGACATAAGCACAAATTAATGCCACATTTTAAAGCTGAAATAATGGGTCCTAAAAGCTCAAATTAGTTAGCATTTGAGCTCTTTTTTCCCCCTTGTTTCAATTCAATCGTTTTTTGAATGGGTTTCTGGTTAGATCCTTAGAAAAATGGCCTGTTGTTAACACAAGTTTAAGAGAAATTGTATTGTTCTACTACATAACATATATCAGTGAACACCCCACGGTTGAATTTCTGAAGCCTCTATGTGCCTAAAATGTTGGCTGCTAACAAGTGGCTAAATGATTCTAGTAAACACCATCATGCCTAACATTAGCCGCCTTTAGCTTAGCGGTGTTGACGTGCAGTCATGTGACCTTGATGTTTTTCCTTTATAGCCTAATGTTAGCTTTTTACTTCTATAGCATTTGTGCTTCATAAATTATAAAAGTGGCGTTAATATGTGGAGATTTCTTGCTGAACAAAATGTTTGAGTATCATAAATATGTTTGTTACAGATCTTATTTCCTGCAATATTACTGCTTTGTTGAGGGAGCCTTTGCGATGCTAACTTCTAGGTCTATCTACAAAAATCCAACATCCGTGCACAACTCAATATTTGTTACATCTAGACATTTATGCAGGATGCTTCCCACAAAGACACACACACCTGTGTTTTTGGACCAGAACACACTCTCCTCCATCCTGTGGATCCACATTATAGATGTAGAGACACCCGTCTGAGGACGCTACCAGCAGGCGGGGGAGCTTCTGAATCCTGACAAACAAAACAAGCACAAGATGTTAAAGACTTATAAATACATCTGTTAAAAATCATCCCTCTCTGGTCGGACTTTGGACTCACGTAGCCAGGGCGCAGATGTTCTTCAGGCCAAACATGTTTAGGCGCACCGTGGCGAAGGCTCGGTCCTGATGCATCATGTCGGACACCTGGGAGGGCAGGTAGGTGCTGGCTGCCGAGAACATTTTACCCATGTAGGCTGACCATGTGGGGGACTCCTCATCTTGACTGGCAGGAAACAACATGGGTCATGGTTGAAGAGAGAATTGGAGGATAAAACCCTCTTTGTTTTGTCACACGTGCACACAGTACAGCACACACAGCGAAATGTGACCTCTGCATTTAACCCATCCTAGCACTGGGAGCATAGCAGAGGGTCATTTCATGCATTGTCCTTCTGTGAACCATGCAAGGGTCAGAGAAGGACAATGTATGGGAAGCAGACTCCTTATACAGAGAAATACACGGGTAATATGCTTTGAAAAAAGAAAATACATTATGTTTACGAGGGATACATTTAACCAGGGATCCAAAATAATACATTTTTATTTGGTTTTTAATGAAAGTACCAGAAACACTAACATTGTAACGTAGCTGGTAAGTCAGGTAATTAGTTGATCTACAGAAAACAAGCAGAAATACAACTGTGTGTGTGTTAGTGTGTATGTGTGTGTGTGTGTGTGTGTGTGTGTGTGTGTGTGTGTGTGTGTGTGTGTGTGTGTGTGTACCTGGGGCTGTGCTGCTCCAGTTTAAATATATGGACGGTCTCAGTGTTACTGGAGGCGCACAGGAACTGGGCGTCTGCGCTGAAGGATAATGAGCTGATGCTAACATATCTGAGACAGAAAACAAAAAAACAGTTAGGAATAAATGCACATTTTAGATTTGAAAATGAATGTGTGTAAGCCCATAACGACCATATTTAGCCCGTATGTAGACTTTTGTCCATGTTTTTTAGATTAAAACATGATAATCAAGTTGCAGGAGACAACCATACAGTTATCACTTTACATTACTTAGCATTAATGATACCAAAGATAATATTGTTTGCGTGCAAATACTATATGATGGTAAACAAAAAACGAAACGTAGTATGCAAAGTATGCAGGTTGCACGAAGTGAAGATTTGAAAATGAAAGTTGAACTGATGAGTGATAGGAGGCCGTTTAGACTGCAGTACTTCCTGTCACAAGCCCTTTGTTTAATCCCAGGCACACAACAGCCATGAACCATCTCGTCCCTAATTTTATTATTAAGATTTGATGGTACGATATGAAAATATAAATGCTAACCTTTTCATCCCTCGGCGAAATTCAAACAGTCTCTGTCCCTCAGGAACGCTGAAGACTCTGATAACGGTGCCCTGTGGAGGAGAGCGTGGTCAAAAAAGAGGATTGTGGGTAATAAAACTGAGCGTTAGTAAAATAATGCTCACCTTTTCTGAAGCGCTGGCCAGTTTGCTGCCGGAGGAATTGAAGGCGAGGGCCGCCAGGGGACTGTCGTGGGCTTGGATCAGGGTCAAAGTGCTCTAAAGGGGTAAATGTGTGGTTTTTTTAAATACATTTTTTCTTTTTTTACATTTTGTTTACAACATAACAGGATGGGCCTTAGCATATCACTTACATAAAAAAAACTTTAACAATTTAAAAAAAGGAAATAAGCAAAAAAAAGGAAATACAAAAAAAAAAGAATTCATACAAATAATAAACATTAAGTGGCAAAATATACTATTATATATATAACACATTTTTGTATATACTTTGAATTGAATTGAGATTTCGAGTTAGATTATATGTTTAAATGAATCAGCACCAACACTTCACTGATGTCCACACGGGGTTATCAAAATAAGTTAAATCAGCTGCATTTTCTCCTTCGCTGCTTTGTTTAATATCAATGTGTCCTCACCAGGTTGTTGGCATCGTACACGGTGATCTCTCCGATGGTGGCGCTGCCGGGGTACGCCAGGTAGGAGTTACTGTGGTTAACAGAGAGAGCGCAGAGACCTGCAGGGGAGAACAGAGGGGGATTTAGGCCATTTACCCCCAATGTTGTCCTTGTCGTTACTCTTTAACATACATATTTCATCAATAATTGCCCTTTCCTTTACCATATCTAATAATGTAAATGAAATGTAGGTCAGAGTCTCAGAAAAAGTCTTATTTTGACAATATATGTCTGTACAACAGCATGAGTGTACCTGTGAGGTTGGTGGGGGTGTTCAGCAGGGTCTTGAGTAGCTTCATGTCTTTGATATTGTGGATGTAAACCGACTCCTCCAGGCACACCACCAGCCTCTGAGATAATGGACACAAATAGATCTCCAAATATAACATGTATTGAAAGGACAAACAAGGATCAACATCTCTGAGGATTACAGGTCCAGAATCATCCATTTCCTGGCCTCACCTGTCTGTTGAGCCTGACGGAGAGGATGTCGTTGGAGTAGCTGTAGTTACAGATCTCTGTGCCCTTCTTGAAGTGGTAGACGTTCATCCGGCGGGGCATGGACAGACTGACCACCACCACCAGGCTGCTGGAGAACAGCCGCTCCACGATGTACACGTCTGGACACTCTACTGGGAGAGGGACGAGAGGGAGACCTTGGACATGGATTGCATATCACATCTCTGGTCAGTGAAGGCAAATACACAATCTTATGTCGTCAATTCCTATATAACTTCCTCCATTTTCTTTACAAATGACTGCGGATCTACTTCTCTCGTGCTTTGCTACCAACAAAAGGGACACTTCACCCTTAAAATACATACAAAATACAAATGTCTCATCAAACCCTGTAGGGATAAGTATTGTTTGTTTTGGTGTGAGTTGCACAGTGTTAGAGACATAGGCAATAGAAATGTCTGCCTTCTCTTCAATATAATGGAACTAGATGGCACTCTGCTTTTTAGTGTCTTAAAGCAGCAAAAATAATTTAAAAAATGAAACAGCAATGTCTCTTTCTAGAAATCATGACCTGATTACTCAAGATTAAACCCAGACTTGGTTGTGAGCATGTAGGAACTACTTTATTTCTAACAAACTACATCCGCCTACTGTATCACTGCCCAGACGGAAGTGTTCATCTATTCAGGAACAAGAGGGTTACAACAAAAACCAACTAACAACAAAACAAACTGGTTTGATAAATGGTATCCATGTTAATCGTACGGTGAACTGTCCCTTTAAGAGAAACTGTCAGTCCCCAGACAATGACAGCATTATTGTGCCTGAACTTCCTCAAAGATGACACCAAACGTTTTCTCTTTGTTGTTGCTTTAAAGAGTGGCACATTGAGCGTTCCTGTGTTTGCCATCTGCATGAAGAACAGCAAACATGCTGGGGCATGTTGTATGATCAAGGTGAACCTGACCACAGCTCAGATAGTGCTGTGTGGACTGCTATTACTCCTCAGTGTGACACTTTAGGGAGGGGAGCCTGAATAATAACTGTTGTGAATATGTCACACATGTTCCAAGTCACTAGAGGTGAATAGAGTACAAATCTTTAACTAAAAGGTATCACTTTAAAAGGTCCCTAGTTTACTTTCATAAAGACAATTGGGTTTTGTGTGACAAGTTTTTCTAAAATGTTATGTTTAAATATGCAAAACAGACATTATTTAATGCACATTTTTGGGTAATTTGTGAGACGTCTACTGACACAAATAGACACTTAGAGACTTTCAAAAATGTGAAAAAATTCCCAAATTGGGATCAATACAGTCTTTCTTCCCATAACTCTGAAAGAAAACATATTATAGAAGCGCAATAGACCAAACTCTCGACAATAGCATTAAAGCACAATGTCCATCTTACCTCCTTCGTGGATGCAGTCCAGTTTGTCCACAGCGGTGACGGAGAACAGCCGGTAGCCGGTCTTTGTGCCCACTGACAGAGAACTACAAGAAGAAGGAAAGAAAACACAGACCATATTACCAGCCATATCCACTATTGTTAAAGTTACCTTAAAACACTGTAGGTCAATTATAGTCCTCAATTTAAAAAAAAAGACTGAAACTTGTCACATGAAATCTGGTTATTTTTGCAGTACCACACACAGTTACAACACTTGATGTAGACATTTTGATACATAAAGTCTATCCTTGTCGGAGTAAAATAATCCTAGAAAACCTTTTGTATTTGTTTGGTATTACTAGAAAAGATTAGGGAATGGATTTGGTCAAAAAGAAGGAAGGACTAGGATTAACCATGCATACACACACACACACACACACACACACACACACACACACACACACACACACACACACACACACACACACACACACACGTGTAGAACTGCACAAAAATGGGGTAAAATCTATGTAATGGCTGCTTTATGCCATTGGCTTCACCTCTGTTAGTTTCCATTAAGGAAGTGTCATATCTCATAACGGTCAGTTTGTCCCATGATTTTCTATCAGACTATCTTATCTTGTTTAGAGAGCATAGCCATTAACAAAGCAGCTTCCATTGATATTAGTTAATCCCCCCTCTAATGGAAGCTCGCCTTATCTTATCATGGCTGAAGTTGAAAAGAACATGATGACAAGGAGATATAAACGCCAGGTTGACTGTTTGGCCATCTGGTTAGTTTTACAATCATCGCCACAGCAGATGTTGTTTTAAGCTGACACACCTGTATTCTGCTGGATCTGTTATTCTAGTTCATAGAGCCTGACAGTGGCCCTCTGCAATGTAGGTGTGAGTGATCAAAAACATTAAAAAAAATACATGACACAGGAACATCTGATTTCCAGATACTTCCTTTAGCATTGCTGAGAAAACCAGTTCATTCATTCCTGCATTTTAATTTCACCTTAACATCTTTTGTATTTTGTTATTGCACTATTTTACTACATCTGCGCTACGATACAACTAATGTGTATTTCTTTTATATGTCTTAATGTTACTGTTGCATTGTTGAAGGAGCCGGGGACATAGATTTGTATTGCCAACAATTACCTTGTGGCTGTTATACATATGAAAATAACGCCTTTGAATATTTTAACCACTTTCTAAGAATGTAATATGGTATGTTAACTGGTGTCATAAATCCAGGAGGTAAGCAAAGACAAGACAATAGACAATAGAGAATATACATATTTACATTAAGCATGTGTCTTATTGCACAATCGTTTGGTTACTCAGTGTCTAAATGTGCAACAGGCTTTGTAGATCAACACAAATTCCCTACTACACTTTAGCTAGTGAGGACCTAAGGACTAATCAACAAGTTTAAATACAAAAATAGAAGCTTGTAGTCACATTTGAGCCCCTCTCACACACACACAACTGCATGCTTTCTAGGTGACAGGAAATAAACCAGACCATGTGAATGACAAATAAATGTGCAACAGTCAGGTTTGCATGAGACATAATAGTCTAATATGTCTATTTTCACTCAATGGTGTTAAGCTGTGTCTTATTTTACACAATAGTTTGGTTACTAAGTGTCTAAATGTGCAACAGGCTTTGTAGATGAACACATTTGCCCATTTCAGTCTAGCTGCTAAGGACTAATATACGTTTAAATGAAAAACACAGAAGCCTGTAGTTACATTTGAGCCCCTCACACACAGCTACTTGCTTTCTAGGTGACAGGAAATAAACCAGACCCTGTGAATGACACTATACATATGTAACAGTCAGGTTTGATTGAGACATAATATAATATGTCTATTTTCACTCAATGGTGTTAAGCTGTGTCTTATTACACAATAGTTTGGTTACTAAGTGTCTAGATGTGCACTCCAGTTTAGCTGCTAAGGACTAATCTACAAGTTTAAATGAAAAACACAGAAGCCTGTAGATACATTTGAGCCCCACACACACAGCTGCATGCGAATCTAGGTGACAGGAAATAAACCAGACCATGTAAATGAGACTGTAAATAATTATGCAACAATCAGGTGCATGGAGGAGATTGAGTTCATGCTGGGCCCGCAGGTCGCTTACGTGGTGTCCTGGTTGAAGGAGGCACAGATGAAGGCTCGCTGCTCCTCCAAGCCGTCCGGAGCGTCCTGGGACTCCTGGGGCTCCATGGCAGCCGCCGGATCGCTTCTCCTCTCACTGGCCGAGGTCGGAGGCCTTGGGCTCGGGTCGATCCCCGCCGGAACCCGCTTCCCCTCCTCAGCCCCCCGACTCCAAACGCCACGATCACACTCTTCGGGGGGGAGGAATGTGCGGGCTGTTTGTCTCAAATAACCCGCATCATACACCGAGTGAACTGTCTAAAGAGGATAAAAGATAGACAATAACACCTCATTAGTGACCTCTTTCACTTGAGTCAGTCGAGACTGTTGTTATAATGTTATTAACTTACATTATTCAGACAGCAAAACAAAAACAGCTGATGGGAGGATGCGTCACTCTAACGCGCATCCCTATTGGCTGGTGACAACATGTAAATCTTCTTTCCGGCGGTTCTATTGGTCAAGATGTTTAAAGCCTCCCGTTGATTTGATAGTATTTCTGTCAATCACGTAAGACCCGCCTATTTAAGAGACTAAACTGTTGATTGGCCAATTATGCTTTCAGTCTTGTCACGAGGAATTGTTTTGATGATTTCATTGGATGAGAGACGATAAAGCTTTTTCTGCCCTGAAAAACTGTTAAACAAAGCTATTATAGATTTTTTTGTTGACAATTATGTTAGTTTTAGTTTGTCTACCTAAGCTTGGCTTTACATAGATGTATTTGTTTATTTATTTAACCTTTATGTTTACAAAATGTACACCATTAAACCATGCATTAAACCCATATCCAGATGTTGAATACTGAAACACTATCCTTAAAATTGTATTTATCTTTTAGACCACAAACGGTAAATGTAAATAGGACTGAGACAACTTGTATTCATTCATAAATAATACTATTATATTTAATATAATGCAAACATTGGTCATATTTCTGCATAATGAGTAGCCTAGCTTTACTTTGTATAGTTAAAATCCATGTGTACACAGAAAAGTACTCAGATCTTGTGCTTGAGTAAAAGTAGCAGTACCAGAGTGTAGGAATACTCTGTTACAAATAAAAGTACAAAAGTATTGGCATCAAAATATCCTTAAATTACCAAAAGTAAAATTACTCATTATGCAGATTGCTCCATTCCACAATTATTAATATCATACGTTTTGATTATAATTATTGATGCATTCAAGTTTGATCAAAGCTCGTTGAGGTTCAGCTAGTTTAATGACTTTGTATACTACAGGGTAGCTTGTGAATTTACTCCAGGTGGAACTAAAGTCTGACTGTGTTGATTATATTTCCCATCAAAATCTGTAAAGTAACTAAAGGTATTAAATAAATGTAGTGGAGTAAAAGTACACTATAAACCTTTGCATTGTAGTGGAGTAGAAGAACAAAGTAGCAAAACATTTAATTACTCAAGTAAAGTGCAAATACCTCCAAATTGTCCTTAAGTACAGTAGGCCTACTTGAGTAAATAGTTACTTTGCACAGCACCACTGTGTGTACAAAAACATCATGTTGTAAATGGACAGACGTTCAAGCACACTGCAGTGAACCAGGATGTCTTAATACAGAAAACACAGATTCCTGTTATCAGGCACATTTTTAATCAGATATAAATCGATTTCTTTCTTTTCTTTTTTTTTGTTTTGTTTCTAAACTATTTCCTTGACGTCACGATTTCCGTGCGGGCTCCTTTAAGGTTGCCAGGGGTTACGGGCTCACATGTCAGAACGAGGAGAATTGACGTCAGTGACGGCCGCTGATTGGTTCTCAGCCGTATCCGGTGGGGCAGCGGTCCAGGGCTCGGGAAAAAAATCGAAGCGAGGAGGATCTGGTAACGGTTCGCTTCGAGAAAAATCATCCATCCCGAGTCGCTATCGAAGGGCTCGGCAGGAATTTTACAGTTTCTTGTGAGTACTTGGCTTTCTTTCCCGTTCGCGGATCATATGACCTCTGCATAGGTGAAATTTGTTTCCTCCGTCTCTCGTTTGTTTATGATAGAACTCAAGATGGCGTCATTGGAGGAGAGCTTTGCCTTTGCACGGAGCTACTAGCCAGCTAGGCTCAAACTACACACACTCTCCCACACAACGTAGGCCAAAGACAGCTAAGAAAAACTACAAAGACATGTATTATTTCGTTAATGTGTTGCTAAATTGTTATTATAATTGGGTAGCTGTTCAGCATCAGTCTGCTAGCTGTTTCTTGGCTGCAGCCTCCTTATGAAGCCACCCTGACCTAGACGGTGTTACAGACAAGGCATTTGCTTCACACTGTCCTCAAAGGCGACAACATTTACTAAATTAGTCAAACCATTATATTGCGTTGGTATCCTCCATCCCCCCCAGCATACCTCGTTGTCACCCGATCAGCAAGGTCATTTGTGCATCGCAGTGTTTTCTCTAATATAATTGACAGCTCTCTTCTTAGTTGACAGCAGAGGGGAGGCTGCAGGTTAGCAACTGAATTAGAGAATTAAAATGTTAAATGTACAATTTTACTACCCTAAAATATGTCAAACTAAATTGGATTTACTTATAATTTAATGCAGGAAAGCCCAGCTGTTGGCTCTTGGCTCTTAATGTATCCCATTTGGTTTGAAAGCAGTATCATTGGTCCCTTAGTTATTCCTTTTGGTAGGTTAGGATTAAAGCAAGCTTTTAAAGTTTCCACTATTTGGTTAGTTGCATAAAGAGCCAGCCCTCATCTTTGATAACATGGCTAGTAAATCCCCTGGGCCTGGCCTGATTAGAAATGATCCGAATCCTATTATACTGATGCAAATGCATGATACACTTGGTCTTTTTGTTCACCCTTCTCAAATGTTGGTTAAATGAGGCCTTCCTGTTTTAGATTTCACAGCTAGATCAAGCTCTGAGCTATCTGAAGAAGCTTATATCACTGAGGCCAATCACATGATCTGGGATCTGTCAGGCTATTTGGCTCAGCAGCAGTACTGTGGCCTGAAATGAAGAAACCTCAAGCAAAGTGCACTTTATTTTCTGGGTTTGGTCTGTTTCACAGTGGATTGATTCACTGGCCTTTTATTCCACCATCTAAATCAAGGCCTTGTGTGTGACACTCAGATAGAGGGCTTCTTTCAGGCCTAGTGGAGAAGTACAATTGTTTTGAGTAAATAAACCAAGCGCAGCCTGTCCTAGTTTGTCGTCTGTGGTCAGATATGTGTGATCACATCATATGACCAGTTTTCTCTCCTGACACTAAGAAGCACTCAGGCTCCTTAGTGCAAAAACAACACCCCATCTCTCAGCGCTTTCTCACTCTGGTTCTATTTTTCTCACATTCTCACGTTTTCTCTCATCGCGGTCACCCCTACTCTTCTTGTGTCGCTCTCCGACTAATCCAGTAAATCCACTTTGTACAGCAATGATCTGAAATCGGGCTCCTGTTTTCCTGTTACTGTCCCCAGTACAAAGGTTAGAGGTCACAGAGCAGGGTTGCGGTTGTCGTCATGGCATCTGGAAGTACGAGCAGCGAGGAGGAGCGGAGCCTGAGGGAGTGTGAGCAGTACGTGCAAAAACACAACATTCAACAGCTGCTGAAGGACTGCATTGTCCAGCTGTGCACCTCCAGGCCGGACAGGCCCATGGCCTTCCTCAGGGAGTACTTCGAGAGGCTGGAGAAGGTTCGTGTGTGTGTTCGTGTTTGTGTTGTAAAGTAACTGAGTGAATTTACTTAAGTACAATTTTGAGAGACTTGTACTTGTGTATATACATTTGTGCTACCCTTCTACTTTTACCCCACTACAGTTCAGAGGTAAATAGTGTACTTTTACTTACATTTATTTAATATCTTTAGTTACTTTGCAGATTTGGATTAATGAAATATAATCAGCACTTAAATAAGAGTTATGTTACACCAGGAATAACACTCACAAGCTACCCTGCAGTAAACAAAGTCATTCAAACTAGCTGCACCTTTCCCAGCTTTCATAACACTTTAATGCATCAATCATTATAATCAAAACATATTATATATCATTCTGAAATGTGCCAATGTTCCTAATTAGTATTTTTACTTCTGGTACTTTAAGTATATTTAGAAGCTAATACTTTTGTACTTTTACTTGAGTAACATATTGATTGCAGGACTTTTGTTTGTAATAGAGTATTCCTACACTCTGATACTTCTACTTTACTTAAGTAGAAGATCTGAGTACTTTCTCCCCCCCTCTTTTTCATCATTGGACTGTGGACTCGATGCAAATCATTATACAGTATGTAGGCCTTTCCAAACAATTACTTTATCGACTTACCGTGCAATATATGAACGGGACCATAATCAATTTAGCTGACCTTGATACGGCTCGTTGTGTTCACATGCATGTTTGTTGACATAAGAATGTGGCCAACGTGACGCCAGAATAAACAGCAGGGTTTTCCCGACCATTATAACTCTTGGGAGTTGCGCTGACATTGCACAGTTTTGTTTACACAGCCACAGAGTCACTATTAATGATTAAGTTTTCTGTTTAGTTTTTTTTATTTATGTATATACCGGGACATGTTTTCATTCAATAACAACAATGTTTGAATATCTGTAAGCATTAAAATCTCATTGAGAGGGTCTACTTGTATAGTTATATACATGTTTCACTTTTTATTTTCACTATGTGTCCAAGTACAGAAATGTGGCTAATAAACTTTGAAATACATGCTTTGGACAATTCTGGGAATTTACCAAATGTACATAAACACTTGGATAAGGCTTGAAGAAGCTGTGTGCAGAAGCCTTTACTAAATTAACCAAAATTACAAGTTAAGAAATACTAAGGCCAAGTAAGTGATGCTTTATTCAAAAAATGTATTGAGTACATTTAAAACTCAACTGCACATACAGCAATTACAATTCTATATTACCACCACCATATTTTGCACAAGTGTTTCTAAAACTACTGCTTGTATGTTTCTGGCTTGTTTTAATTCAATGTAAGGCTCCAAGAAATTTATTTTGGAAATCTTTGATGGTTGATAATTCTTCCAATCTTTTTTTAGACCGTTTCAAATCTGTTTCAAAGACATTTACGATTGTTATAGTTTTCCTATTTTCCTTTTTAAATATATAATTTTTCGTCGGGTCAGCTATAATATCTCAGATATATTTAGCTACTCGGTTGGAGAAATGTAAAGGATATTATAACTTAAGAAAATCATTTTATTCCGTTTTTCCATGCTATATAACTTTTGTGTATCACTGAATTCCACAAAAGTAGATTTTATAAATAATATCCTGACTTAACTTGGATATACTGGACCAACTCTACCCTTTGTTGGCTGACCCCCTCCCCTTCTCCCTTGCAGGAGGAGTCCAAGCAGATCCAGAACCAGCAGAAGGCCAGCAGTTCCCGCTCAGACTCTCGTGACGAGGAGGTTTCTCCCCCCATGAACCCGGTGGTGAAGGGCCGCCGGCGGAGAGGAGCCTTCAGCGCAGAGGTCTACACAGAGGAGGACGCAGCCTCTTATGTCAGAAAGGTAGACGTGCAAGCAGCTCACAAAGAGTGTCGCAACACTTTAATCTACAATCTGATATGATCTGTTCTAGGAAGAGTTGCGTGACTTGTCTGTTGTTTTTAAGGTCATTCCAAAAGACTACAAAACGATGGCAGCCTTGGCCAAAGCTATTGAAAAGAATGTTCTCTTCTCACACCTGGACGACAATGAGAGGAGGTACCTGCCTTAAAGTTGTTTTGATAAAGCTCTTGAACGTTTTTATAACAGCTGGCTTACTCACAAATCTTTTCTTTTTTTAGTGACATATTTGATGCCATGTTTCCAGTCACCTACATCGCTGGGGAAACTGTTATTCTGCAGGGTAGGAGGACTTCATCTTGTTGTGATAAGTTGATCAGATCCAGATCATGATACTGTAGATATAATTATTTTTTTCAGAGTCACCTGTCATATTGCTATTGTAGATACTTTCTGTACATTAAAATTATACTTGGCTCTAAAGCAACTTCTGTTAATGTGTTGCCAACTCGGCAATAAATCTGAGTCTGATTGATGTCTTTGGGTAATGTTAACGTCCTCTTTGTATGCACACAGGTGATGAAGGAGACAATTTCTATGTAATCGACCAAGGAGAGATGGATGTGAGTGTTTGATCCTCTTCAGAAATAAACAGAAAACATTATTTTTGTCACCATTGGGTTTAAATGTCTCTATTTCTATCCTGCTTGTCTGCCAGGTGTATGTGAACAATGAATGGGTGACCAGCATCGGGGAGGGGGGCAGCTTCGGAGAGCTGGCCCTGATCTACGGGACCCCGAGGGCGGCCACCGTGAGAGCCAAGACCAACGTGAAGCTGTGGGGCATCGACAGGGACAGCTACAGGAGAATACTTATGGTGAGGAGGGGCTAAACATACACGCCCCCACCTACACTCTAGTATGTGGGGTGTGTATGTCACCACTGTATATAGAGTGTTACATACATGTAATATGTAGTAGTACAATGGGGACCTATTTACTTTAACTTCTTATTTTTGTACAAATATTTTTGTTTTATTGGATTGTTTTTCTTAACTTCTTATATTTTCCTGAATTATTAGTTTTTATTTTTATTGGACATTTTACTTTTACCTTTGTTTATTTAAATATTTTTGTTTTATTTTAGCTTTTTATTGCACATTCTTACTTCTCCTATTTATATACATTTTATTTTGGGAAATTTTTCTTTAGATTAAAATTTTTTTTTATTCTATTTTTCTTAAATGGAGCCACTGCATTAAAGCCAATTCCCGCAAGGATAATTAAAATATTCAGATTTTGATTCTGTTAATGCAAAGAAAGGCCACCGATTTTAGAGCCAGGTTGTAAAATGTTTGTCATTAATGTACTTTTGTTTAGTTGTGGGGCATCTCTCATATTTTTAAACGTGTTATCATTCATTTTTATACAATAACACAAATATCTTTCTCTTCAGGGAAGCACTTTGAGAAAGAGGAAGATGTACGAGGAATTCCTCAGGAAAGTGTCCATTCTAGGTGGGTTCGTTTTTCAAACCATCCCAAATCTTTTTAAAATGGAAGCACGTTACATGTGTATGGTGCTGAGATTAAAATAACCTAAAAGAGCATTTAAAAATACATCTCCTTAAAAGCATAACCAATAACAGGTTCAACCTTTTCAAATCTGATTTTTTACAGTGTTGTCATGTCAGCTGACTTCTCTTCTCTCCTTTGTTCACAGAGTCTCTCGACAAATGGGAGCGCCTGACAGTCGCTGATGCCTTGGAGCCCGTCCAGTTTGAGGACGGACAGAAGATTGTTGTGCAGGGAGAGCCTGGAGACGAGTTCTTCATCATCTTAGAAGTACTTACTTCATCACTGACTTACACACATGCTTTTATACATGTCACAGTTTTACCTCTAAACTCTGAGTTCTGTAATTGATTGTTGTCCTAGTTACGTCAGACAGTGTAAGGGATGTTGGATCCTCTTGGGACTCAATGCTGGTTTATATTTTCAGCTCTTTAAAGTATTACCACCTCTATTTGTTATCGACAAATGCACGCCCTCTTGTGGTGATATGAAGAGTTGCTTCATCATAAACATGTTTCGATCTTTGAGCCAGAAAGGATTAGTCAATTAATTGATAAGTCAGTCAACTTAAAATGTATACTTTGTGTACAATTGTGTTTGTAACAATTTGACAAATGTTGGTTCCAGCTACTTAAATATTATATAATTTTTTTTTGCGTCTTCCAAGTCTAGACATTTTCATTGGTGTGATGCAATATGAAGGTGTCACATTTGATGGAAATGATAACGGGTTGATGTTTTCATTTCAGTGTGAATGGGTCTTTTGAGTGTTGAACTAACAAATAATTATATTAGAAATCGACTTTTCTAAAGAAGAAGATATTCTGATTAATGTGCTCATGTAACTTAAGGTGTAGGCTATGTGTTTTTCTCAGGGTTCTGCAGCTGTGTTGCAGCGTCGCTCAGAGAACGAGGAGTTTGTGGAAGTGGGGAGGTTAGGACCCTCTGACTACTTTGGTAAGCACGAAAGCTTCATCACAGCAGTCTGTATATGTATTACTATTTCTATTTAATTGATATTGTTTTGCGGTACCGTTTTAAATAAAAAAGCAAGGAAACACTTCCTGTCACTATGACACATGACCAAAGTGCAGTGTCTTCATGTTATTTGACTTTCTGTGTGTGTTCTCCAGGTGAGATTGCCCTGCTGATGAACCGCCCCCGCGCGGCCACTGTGGTCGCCCGCGGGCCCCTGAAGTGTGTGAAGCTGGACCGACCTCGCTTCGAGCGCGTCCTGGGTCCCTGCTCGGACATTCTCAAACGAAACATCCAACAGTACAACAGCTTCGTCTCGCTGTCCGTCTGAAGGGTCTCTCCTCCTCCTCCTCCCTCAACCCTTTCCCCTCTTTTCTCCTTTTAGACCCAGGGTCCACCAATGCAATTTGCTTTTTGTCACTTTCTTCTTCTTCTTCTTCTTCTTCTTTCTGTTTCGGCTTTTATCCCTTTTCGTTTTACACACAGAGATCATTTTGTTGTTAGCACCCGTCACGCTGAGGTGACTTTCAGCCATTCACCAGCGCTTGTACCAGCTGCTGTACGCTACCTTGTAGGCACAGTTACATCACACGTTACCTATGTTATATTCGCTGGTTACGCTTTCTTTTTTTGACTTAAACACAAAGCAGGATTGTTAGGAGATCTGAAAGACATTAGGGTCTCAGACTGCTGAGACAGGACAATCAAACTTTACATGGCGCTTTTAGTGAACTTCTTACAGATTTAAGTTGTAGATTGAACAGAGGACTTATTTTCTCCCCGTTAAAGAGTTTCCTTTTGGACATCATTTAGCCCGATTTTAGATACACGGCGTAGAGAAAAACCTAGAAACTGTATTAAAAAAAAAAAGGCAGGACGAATATGATTGAATTTTATCAGACGTTATTTAGGTTTCAGCTATACCATGATTGGCACGATGAGAAAAGGCTGTTTTGCTTAGTAAGCTTGTACAAATTATAATTTGAATGTGCAGCTACCAGGCGAGTGCCAAATGTGGATTATTGTCACAGCGCAACGATGCGTAGCCGTGGAAACGCAGTGCGTGCCCTCAATATTTGGAGCTCCAAACAGGAAGTAGTTACTGTCCTCTTTATCGGTAGAACGACCATACAAGAACTGCCTTGACTACTCTGAGGAAAAATAATATAATATATAAAAGAAAGCTAAAAAAAAAAAAAAAAGAGTATTAAGTGTATTTCAGTATTCAATTTTTTTAGTATATACCAAATAACTTGGTCACTCTTCTGCTATGGTTTGTAATCAAAATGTTATCATAGTATAGTTAAAATTGATCATAGTTTTATTATTATTATTATTATTTTAATTATCATGGACTAAATGATACATTTATGGTTTGGAGTGATGGTGATCTAAAAAAAACTATGTTTAACTGTCTTTTGTAAACACTTATTTTTCCATAAATTCTATTTTAGGTGTCCAGTGCCACAAAGTAAATAAATGCTTCTTCTTGTCAACCGACAAAAACAGTATGTAATCGTATTGTGTAAAACGTCATGGGTTAAAACTTAAAAAAAAGAATAGATCAAATGGGTTATTCCAGGTTTATTGAAGTGAAGTCTTGAAAAAAACAAGATGGTTTTATGGGTTTTCAGGACATCTGAAGTATTTATGTATGGAAGCGGATGGGCAGAGTGAGCAGATATTTATTTAAAACTAGTGTCATTGCTTATTGCCTATTTGAAAAGGTGGCTGTCTTTTCATCAGAGTAGCTTGTGATCTGTTCTCTATGCTTACTTGGCATGATGTTTTAGGCATCCAGTGATCCGGTATGAATGGAAAGCGTGTATTAAAAAAAAATCCTGCAGCTGCTGCGTGCAGAAGCAGGAACTTTGTCAAATATTTGGTTTGTTACTCCCTAGCTTAACTGCTTCATGACTATTTAGATGGCATATAATGTTTAAGTCTGTTTTTGTTTTTTTAAAAGATCTTTACCAAATCACACAATGTTGACTTCTGGATTATAGGCTTAACTCTTCATTCCTGCCTCACTTGTCTGTTACCAGAAATGACATAGAACCAGTCATGTGTTTCTGTTTTGTCTCATTCAGGGCACTTAAATGCGCTTAAGAATCGAGATGTATGTTGTACGTCCAAAAAATATTTGATTTTGGTGCCGATTGCAGGGTATAGTCAAGTTAGTGAGAAGAGTTTTTTTGTTAATGGACATGAGTAATATGTAATTTTCTTTACAGTTAAATCAATCATCTGATCCCTATCCTGATCCACAGGAAATGACTCCGTTAGGGGAGCGTGGGTTTGACTCACCTTTTATCAAAATATCGATTTCTTGTAAATAGCAGCATCATTGGTTTTAGTCCAAAATGTTTTTAGCCACACTGCAATCGTCCCGGTTTGCCTTAGCTTACCTAACCTGGGCTTACAGTAGTAGTCAGTCACTCCTGCTAGCCCGACCTCCAGTGAGTTTGTTAGGCCTGCAGCGCAGAGAGAGCTGCAGGCGACCAGAGGACCATTCTTTTTCTATTCTACCCTGTATTCAGTTTGACCTCCTGTATGTGCAAAGATGTTTATCCTTTTGGTATAGATTGTTCCAGATGGCAGTTTAAGCAATAAAAAAGTAAAAATAATTCAGCTTTGTGTTGTGTTTTCTTCTTTTATGTTTCAACTTTTTTTTTGTTATATTTCAGGGTTGAAAAACACATATACGTTAAATCATCGATGTCACAGTCTACACATTACAGTTTTTATTTTCCTAAGTAAAAGGCCAAAGTTAATTGTGTTAATATATACTTCAATTACTGAAAGTAGAACTATTGGATTATTATTATTTTGTATATTTAACTTTTTCCGTCTGGAGATACTGTCATTGATTCAATTGAATTAGTCAAATATGTTATGAATTGTAAATGTAAAAATTGGCAAAGCTAGCTATCAAATGAATGTAGTGGAATAAAAAGTAAAATATTTGCCTCTTAGTTGTAGTAGAGTTTTAGTTTAAAGTAGAAGAAAATCGAAATAAAAGTAAGTTTGTAGGCCTTCAAGTACCTCTAAAATGTTACTTTTATAACTGTGCTTAAGTAGAGACAATTATTCAGGACATTATTAATGTTTTTTACACGGTTTTCCCCAAAAAATAAAAGCCTGGAAATAGATATATTTTTTCGCCTCTGCGAAACAGGTGAGAAGGGCATCATGGTTGCACACAGAGGTCTGTTATCTGGTTTATTTCCACTAAAGAGATTCAAAAATACATGTTTAACTCAGATGGGAAGTCTGTTCTGCAACAGTATCGCCGACTACCAGACGTATTACAAAGGTAAGTGTAGTTAGATAATTGTTTATGTTTGTTAGCTAGTTAGCTTGTAACTGGCAGATGTCCTGACTCGGTGTAACTGGTTGTAAAACATACAATACTATGTAATATTTTTTTGAAGCTATGTAAGAAAGCACAAGGGGATAATTTATATCCAAAAAAAGCTAACTACCTTGTTTGCTTTGAATAATTCACCTAAAACTGCACACTTCACCATGTTTGTTGTAAAAACGTTACCTATGCTATGCTAATGCTAATTCTCGCTCTCTGACAAGTTGACTAACTTTACACGTTAATATGGTTGTAGTTCAAGATGCTTCCAGTAAAGTATTTCCATTAAACGGGTTTTAACTTATCCTGTCTAAATAATGTGGGGTGTATTTTAAAGTAAATCTTAATAATAATGGTTACATTGGGTACATTGGCTCTGAAAAGAGATGCAACATGACATCTGTCCACCGGGGGGAGACATGCCACTGCTTAATGTTTAGAAAACAGCAGGACAATTTTGATTTATTCCTGCACCAAAACATAGTAGAAATGTAGAAACATACTTTTATAGATACAGTCTATGACTCATACCCACATGTTAAATGTCAACCTTTCCTCCATTTTGTCATTATTTCTCAACATTCTTCATCTCGTTAATAATCACATTTTCCTTAAAGAGGATTTTGATCACTTCAGACAATTTAGATTTGTTTCCACGTAGTATATTTTCAAATAATGAGAAACATTTATAAATGTAATTATTGCCAATTGTCCTTTGCTCTTGGGAAACGACCAACATCTGCAGCTTTGACATTATTGCTATTAGTTTTTGGAGTTGGAAAAGTTTGGCATTTGCGTTTTCACTTTTTAATCTGTCATTCTACATTTTCAACTGGGGTTTCAAATGTGAATTCCTGTTGCTAGATTTCAGTGAAGATACACTGTGGTTTAAAGGTATTTGCCTGGGGTAGAGAGCACTTTTTACGATCTCGACTTATCAGCCTTACTGCCTGCCTTTTTAAGCTGATGTCTGACTTTATTTGGCATCTTTCCAAACGTTAAGATCTCTTAAAAATAGTTGTGGTTGTTCACCTTGTGTTACATCACACACAGACCTGGATCATATCAAGTCTGTCGGATAGGAACACAGAAAATAATGAAGGCCAAAGCTCAAAATTGGTTACAGATGACACACACATTCTCATATTCATAATAACAAAAATGTTGGCCTTAGTTCAGGATTTTCTATCATGATATGATATGACACATATTTCACATTTACTTAAGGTTAGTCATTACTGCGTCTCAGCCTGTTTTAGTGGACTGTGACGTGTTAAAGCGGTTTAAACCCTCTGATGAGACAGAAGGATTTACAAGTCTGGAAAATGGGGTGGAGGAAACTAAATGACTGTTTTAACGGAAGCACTTTTCTCACACGCATACATCTACAGACACACTGTTACAGGTGATCATTTCTCTTCAAAATAACTTTATTTAAAAATTAGAACAACACAAAGACACCCACACGTTTCTCTCTAAACCAACATATTCACCAGCATTAATTTGGCAAACAACTGATCCAGTGCATCGTAGCTCTCTTTTATTAATAGTAACTCCACTGCTGAATTTGATGCGTGGTAGGACTCTTATACTTTAGCTTAATTCATTTAATAAATAAACTCCATTCCCTGATGCTTCTTTTTGGTTTTTAACATTGGTTTTTAAGGGTGCACTTTTGGGCTTTTTAATATTATATGTTCAATGCATTTAGCATACATGTTGGCAAGGCTGCAAGTTTTTGCTTCCTAAAGCTCAACCTCTTATAATAAGTGTTGAATAAACGGTGTAGTCAAAATACAGACACTCAAAGGCTTAAGGGCTAAACATATCTTCATTGAAGCCCTTTTTAAAACCGCCGTGCTTGATCCCACAGCCATCTGGATTTCAATCTTGATGTACCTGACGTCGTGTTCGTGGACATAACAAAAAGTCAGTCATAAAATGCACCCTTGGGGGAATTTATGACCATTAAAGATGCAAAAGGAAATAAAATGCACAACTCCCTCTGTGATAGGAATTTGAGGCCTGCAGTGATTCACGGTCTGAACCTCCTCAACGAGATCCTTCTCTGACAAGCTCAGAAGATTTTAACCCGTCTTCCATTTATGGCTTGTTTCTTAAATCGAAACCATCTGAGCCTTGTTTTTCTTGCTTCGCTTCATCATGAAGTCTTCTGCACAGAAACAGCTATGAAGAGGACCATTTCGTCCTGTGCTACCTGTCCTTCTTCATCTCTGTGTTGATCTGAGGTGTCGCTGTGGATTTAACAAAGTCCTTGGTGATCACGTCCTCCTCGCCCAGCCTCCTGACGCAGCGTTGGACCGCTCGGAGGACCTTCTGTAGCCGGCGGTCCAGCGCTGAGAGGTGAGGCTCCGTTAGGACGGGCTGTAGAGAGTCTCCCTTCAGAGACTCCCTCATCACATCGCTCAGTCTGAACTCTGGTCGGGCCAGGAGCTGCAGACGCACCAGAGTGGAGCGTTTTATCCTGAAGATAAGATAAGATAAAATGTACTTTATTGGTCTCGATTTGGGAAATGTTTGCGTCGCAGCAGCATAAAAGGCAAGGCATTGCACATAAGTAGAAATTAAAAGAGTAGAAAAAAACAATTCAAAAAATTACTATGTAACAATTAAAATGTATTAATCGCTTTGTTTGGCAATTGGACGGTTTCTAACATAAATTGACAAATGAGACCTTTCCAGACTTTCTCTGTTGTATATAACAGCCTGTAGACTTAAGGCGCTTTTGTCAGATAAATCCAAAGAATATATAGTTTATGCACGTTCCCAAGGACATCCTGTTTTTCAGATCACTTAAAGCATCAACATAGCAAAATACAGGCCGTTTCTCAATCTCGAGGAAACTGGCTTCCAAGCCAAAATTCAAGGATGCTACATCATCGAGTGCCGCCGAAGGACTGTTCCAATCTCCAGCATACTTGGAAGTCCACCGAGGCCGCGTCCTTGGTTTGGGGGTAATTTCGAGGCTGCACATGGGTAGACTTTGCGTCCTTAAAATCCCCACAATGCTTTGCGCACGGACCAATTTCCCCAAATCTGTGGCGGAAAATGTAAGGCGGGGCCTCTCATATGGCGCACACCTGCACACTTGCTAGCCTGTTCCACTCTTCGTTTTCCGAATGCCAGGAAGGATTCTTGCCTAGCTTCTGAAGCAAGTGACTCGGAAGACATGTGCTACCAAGCAAGCGTACTCGAGATTGAGAAATGGCACAGTCTCTTTAGTCGATACCCTTATTAAGCAAACACTTTGGACTGATAAGGCTTGTATATTGGTTAGCTTGCGGTTAGGGTTATGACAAGTGGTGTTGATTTTAACCAACAACAATTATGTAAAGGTATAGCTAAGGTAAGCAAGCCTTGGTCGCTTTGTAACTTTACAAACTAATTTGGTAATGTTATTCTAAATATGAACCACTAGTGTAATAAAACGCCACTGTTGTGAGCCATGCTCGGAGCCCAACAGGATGCAGTTCAGTTAACGGACACTTGTGCTATTAATAACCATCACTTCACATTATTTCACTTACATGCAGCACTGGGATAGTGGAGCCAGGATGGACATCTCATCTTGAGAGTGTTTCCCAAACCTGAGCACAAGATGTGATTTAAGATAATGAAACCACAACGGATCATTTTACAATCATTAAATGATCTGTCAGGTTTTAGTCTCACCCTCGTGCATTGTCCAAGTGGAGAAGGAACCCATCGTCCCCAAATTTAGTAAAAATCTCATAATGGTGTCTGTCCATGTTGCCTGTAGCAAAGTTAAAGCACAGTAAAGTAAGAGACAGTTAAAGCTTGAGTGCCAAAGTGAAAAGTAGATGATAAAGTGGATTAAATACTTGTGAGGAAGTCGAAGATGGACATGTCGATGATGTTGAGGAGCCTGTTTCCTGAGTTGTATGGATACTGTTGTTTCACTGTGTCACAGTAGAAAGGATTCACTTCCCACCTAAAAAAGAACAGACAATAATATTTGTTTTCAAAAATTCTGATTCAGGAACTGTTTACTGCATTTGAATGTTTTTGCCTAGATTTTTGGAACAACTTCAAAAAACGGTGTGTCAGCTTATTGTTAACCTCAAAGGTTAGTTAAATAGAGGATGGTGTAGAAAAGAAAGAAAGGGTCAAATTAGACGAAGCACTCTTCAACCTCTAACCCTAATTACGAAAGTCTAAAACCAAAGAGATGAACATAAAAACATTTCTGGGAAACACTGACATTATTCTTTGTCTTTTGTTTTTGTACTCCCCCCTTTTGTTTTTGTACTCCCCCACTTCACAATGATTTATGTTCTGTATTTGAATCTAATTTACTTAATCGCATCTTTGTTTGATGTTTAAATTGTACTTTTGTAAAGCGACTTTGAGTACTTAAAAGCGCTGTATAGATTTTTATGTTGTTGGAAACCACCCACTGTTCCAACCGCAATGAAGGCCTCAGTAAGAGACGGTAGATTCCCATCATGCTGTTTTAACTAAAAAATGTGGGGAACATATTTTCAACAATAACCTTTCTTCATGGATGTACACTGAACAAAAATATAAATGCAACACTTTTGTTTTTGCTCCCATTTTTCATGAGATGAACTCAAAGATCTAAAACATTTTCTATATACACAAAATAACCATTTCTCTCAAATATTGTTCACAAATCTGAAAAAATCTGTGATAGTGAGCACTTCTCGTTTGCCGAGATAATCCATCCCACCTCACAGGTGTGGCATATCAAGATGCTGATTAGACAGCATGATTATTGCACAGGTGTGCCTTAGGCTGGCCACAATAAAAGGCCACTCTAAAACGTGCAGTTTTGCTTTATTGGGGGGGTTTAGCGAATAGATTTATATTGTGCAATTTTCCAAAATCACTTTGGTTTCTCAAACAGCATTTCTGTAAACTACGTGTATTCACTGCATTTCAATCTCTGCCTTTAACGGCTCTTTGTAGCTCCAATAGCTCCAGCCCGCACCCTCCCTGTGAGCACAGTGTGCTCTGATTGGTCGGGATGTTGTGAATCACGCTGAGCTCCGTGGATTGTGGTTTCCTTGTTTAGCGACAGCCAAACTCACCCTGAGCACACACAAAGTCACAGCCGAAGTAAAAACAATAAGTGTGGCTTGATATTGAGTAAGAAAAAGGTTGATAAACGCTGT